CAGCGGTTGTTGCTGAGGAGCGTCAGCTCCGTACTTCATATTCTAGGACTCGAAGTAAGGTTTTGAGCTAAACATGTAGTCTCGGACATCGACATCCTTCGTCTCGAATGCTTAGGCATAGCGATTCCTTCAGCTCGATACTCACGCATTTCCTGAGCTGGAGGGTGCCCAGACTGCTGCTGTGAGGTTGCCGGTTGCTGGTGCTGTTGCTGCTGATAGGTTGCAGCCATCTGCGCTACAGTGCTGCGGGCTGAGCCATAAAATGCTGCTGCTCACGCATCATTACTGTGAGAGAGGCACACATTTGCTGCACGTTGTCGGTATGTTGTTTTGCAGCTTCGTTCATGTTTCCGCCTACGAGGACACTTCGCTACTAAATGACCAAAGTGCGCAAGCTCCTCAGCCTAATCAATAAAAATATCGAACGAAGGCGCAGGTACTCCATGGAGAACTGCTTCCGTCAAGGCCTGCTAGAAGTCCATTAGCTGACGATTTACCCTTTCCCCGGTACACCCCTAGAAGCTCTTAAGCGCTCCTGACGACGTCAACCAGGAGAGTGAGTGCGAGGTAGCTGGTACTCCTGGTGAGATCAAACCCCAACTGAGTGAAAGTCGGTAAAGAAACGCGAGAAGGAATCGCACTCAGCAATGCAGGTTGTGATCGATATTAATTGGCTAATGGGAGGTCGACATGAAAAAGATATGTGCAACAATGCGACTGTCCCTCCATTAGGGCAATCGACTAAGCTGTCGTCACCGACAGACTCGCTCGAGATGGCTGTGAGGTTGTTAAGTGCTGCGATAATGTCGTCGAACGGTGAAATTGACGACAGGCATCTAGTGGTTTGTGAGGCGACGGATGTGGTCTCATTTCCCTTGCTCTCGACGACATATCCAATGCCGTTTACGAATACGTACGTGAACTGATAGTCTTCTTGGATAAAATGGGCGAAGCCGTCGTAGTGCAGACTGTTTTCAGCAGCAGATAAGATTGGGTTGGCGAATACGTCGAAGACAGATTGGCCGTGAATTTGCATATTTTCTCCCGTGAGCTGGATGCGAAGTCGTACTGAAGGCATACGGTGTAGTGACCGCGGTAGGCTCTGGAACGTAAGCGGCGACACCTGGCCAGTGGAGATAGAGAGCGTGAAAATGAGAGTCAGCGCGAGTAGCATGATACCACCAAATCGATAATGGCTGCAGGCTGAGGGGCTTATGGGCATGATCATGGGTGGGCCTTGCTCCCCTTTCCTCGTTCATGAGTCAACTTTCTACCAATCGTGGGTTGAACTTTGAAATGTAATTCTCAAGTCGTTTAAGAATCTTATGAGGCCGCAACGTTGTGATTCTGGATGTCTCAAAAGACCACCGCCCTCTGATTGTTTGTTCAAGAAAGGAGATCGCTATTCAGACACGTACCATAGATTTCACTGTTATTCAATGCAGAAATCTCGGGCATTTCTACATATGTTTTGTAGTAACTGTTCCTCCCAAATTCCATCTGTTTCGATTACTCTAAAACACGATGATGGCAAAATCTCTGGAAATGAGTTTTCACGCCATCATCGTTTGCCTTGTTTTAACCCTGACAGATCAGCTACTAATTTTTTAGCGAACGCATATGGATCGTGAGATGATGCTATTTAAGGATGACGATTCAGGGTGCAGTGCATGTTTCGTCAATATCTACAAACACTTTTTTTGTTGTATCGCCCCGTTTTCAGTTCACAAATTGCGAGTTGGACCAAGGGTGGCAAGATTAACATGAACAACAGCACATTATTGTATCTACCAAAACACCAGTATTCGAGTGACAACGTGATTGGAAACGTGATACAGAGACAGGAATTTGTATCTCACTCTGCTTCCACGTTCAAGGCGAGCGGAGTAAACT